ATGTCTTTAAGCACATTGAAATCACATTACATTCTTTAAGACTCTGGATCCTTTTTTTTATTGCAAGATATATTTCTATATTTCTTGGCCCATAAGGAAAGGAAGCCCTTTAGAGAACAAAGCATCCATGCTCACAGTAAAACTCTAACCTTCCACAACAGGACATGGAGATAATTGCTTGGCCTTTTCACTGTTTCATCCTATCCTATGGTTCTCATTGGTGATTACTGTCTACCATTCCCTTATGTGGTGCTGACTAATCCAAAGACTAAGGCTAAAGCCATTCCCCTGGAAGCAATTTAAACAATTAAATTGTCTAATTTCTTAAAAAAAAAATAAATAAATAAAGTCTAATATAATAACTTAAAAATGCACATTATAAAACAGTATATGATCCTATTTTTGTGATTATGTGTTCCTGTGCATAAAAATAAGTCTGAAAGATGATAACCAAAATTGTTATCTTTAAACATCTTTACTTATCTTACTATTGGTATCACTTAGCCAAAGAAAAGTATGGAAATAAGGAGACTTTATGGAAAATATTAGGTTTGGTTAGAATGGACCCACTAAAGATTAAAGCTATTAAATACTGAAAAGCACGGCTATTTTGAGTACAGAGTTATCTAACATAATGACCATTCCATTAACTAATGGCACTTGAAAAGTGACCCCATTTTTTGGACAGCTTTCTTTTTTTGGTGTAACGACTTTTTCACTTTTTCACTCTAAACATTCTAAATTTATAGATTATAAGGAGTGACATTTGGACATTATAGTTTTAGGCAGACCCTCCAACTTGACACTAGAAACTTGTGGAACAAATCTGAATTGCAAGCCATATTTGGATGAACACAGATGTTTTGGGTTTCCATACTATCCAAAATGAGGTATGAAGAGGTAGGATCTTTTGTGATTGTTCATGCTGTGCTCACATCCTAATTTCCTGTTTTGAAGCGCTCTACTGTTTGGTCTTCATTTAGTTCTAAAGATGTCACCATAAGGCTACAATGTTATTGTATTTTTGAAGTACACTTTGAGTACAGAATAACCATGAGCTGATCTGAACTCTCTTTAAGGATAGCTTGCTCTATCTACTGAATATACAATATTTGCAAACAAAAAGATAAAGTTTTAATCAGTTGTGTGTTCTGGAGAATTGCATCATATCCTGAGAAACATTTGGGAGATTATTTGGGAAACCACAAACGTATCAAATACAGCGGATAGAAAAATCACACAGATTGTGGATTACCATTATCTACTATGACTATACAGCATTGTTAGGAAGGCTGAAGAAAGCAGTGTGGAGGAGTCAGCAAGGCTGCTAGATGAATGATTTATCAAAGAATTTTAAGGAGCATATAAATGCTGTATAACATAAAAATTAAGGAAGCAGCATCTACTAATTCTTAGGGAAAAGAAAATTATGAAGTATGTCTAATTCTAATATTGAATCTCTGTGTGAAAGTCCATCACCTGCCCCTCAACCAAAAAATTACTCCCTCAAACTTCTTGGCCAACCGTTGCCCATGATCAAGACTTAAGTCTTCTTTGACAAGTACAGTAAAGCTTCTTACATTATATTTTATGTAGAAACAGTAGTTATGAACTGTTTTCATTTTTCAATTGATACATCTGGATCCACACCAGCATGTCTCCCACCGCTCTCAGCTCTTTACAAATACTGACTCATTTAATCCTTACACTAACCCATTAATTGTGTAGGAATCATTACCTCCATTTAACAGACAAAGAAATGGTACAGAGACAGACACTGAGTAACATGTCCAAGGTCACACAGCCTGGTGAGTGGCAGTCAGGGTACAAACCCTGGCAGTTTAGCTCCAGTCCATCTTACACTAAACTCTGCTGCCTCATGTTTTTTACATTTACAAGTAAATATCTGCTCTGTTGGTTTCAGATGACAATTTTTCTTTTCTCTCCTGAAATACCACATCTCTTTCTTTTCAATGTATATAGTTCAATTTATGGCCATTGGTCTCCTATTATAAAATAGTTCCATTTTAGAGAATGTGAAACACTAGGAAACAGAGATGTGATTTTCCCCTAATTTGGCATGGAAAAAGGAGACTCCTTTCCTCAAATTTCTTATTTCCATTTTATTAAATGAAACTTTAAAAAAAAGTTAATTTCTGAAAATTTAGGGTACTTCCTGATCCCCTAAACAATTAAAATAATTTCATCACAATTTTAATCAAGCTTCATGTTTAATATTAGCATGCAAACCTCCCTGAAGCAAAAGCTGTAATAAATTGCACATTTAAAAGCTTTTAATAACCAAAAAAGAACCAAGGAAATGCCCCTTCATGGTTCTATTAAAGCAAAGGTATTTTCTATCCTTCCAAATTAATTCTGTGGAGTGTGAAATATTATGATGGTTTTCATTTCTGAATTTAAAAGACATTATAAATGAATGGAAAGGGAAGATCAGAACAGGCAGAAAGACATCAGGCCCCCAATGATGGAAAATGTGAAAAAAGGACAGAATACCCTTTCCACGTGAAACACTGTTTGATGAATATTCATAACCCAATTTAAAGCCAACATTTCAAAGGGATTAAGGTCAGGACTATGACCTTTATTTGATGACAGGTTCCAATTTCGGTCTCTAGCAATAATCGTCTCAGACTGGGAGCTCTTACTTAAAAGTTATTTTATTTTTTTATTGATTTTAGAGAGGAAGGGAGGGAAAGAGGGAGAGGGAGAGACATCCCCCACTGGGGATCAAACCCAAAACATGGGCATGTCACCCGATGGGGAATGGAGCCTGCTACCTTTTGGTGTGTGGGAGGACGCTCCACCCAACTGAGCCACACCGGCCTGGGCTAAAACAAATCTTTATTAAAAGATCTTCAAGCCCAGCCAGGCGTGGCTCAGTGGTTAAGCATCCACCTTGGAGACCTAGAATCCAAGAGATCGAGGTTTGATGCCCGTTTGCGGGCTCCATCCCCAGTCGGGGGCATGCAGGAGGCATCCGATCAATGACGACTCTCTCATCTTTGATGTTCCTATCTCTCTCTCCCTTCCTCTCTCTGAAATCAATAAAGATATATTTTTTTAAAAAAAAAATCTTCAAATTGTCTTACAGAGTTTAATAAAAAAGTTACTTCTACAGTTTTACATAAAATATTTTGTCCTTAATTCAGGAACTTTTACATTTTTAAAAGATCAACTTGGATATCACGTAAGGTTCTAAAAATACTGACAGGTAATACTAACACACAGCAAGATGGGAAGGAAGGAGTGCTGATGTTTGCTGAGCACCACTGCATGCCAGGAACTGTTCTTCAAAGCTCACGGAGACCATGCCTATCTGTTTACCACCATCTTTTAGCAACCTGATGCAGACCAGGCACCTAACAAATGTGTGCCCAGTGATTAGCAAACGCTACCACTCAGCAACTGAGAATTCAACAAAGGTGACTTCCTAATTCTCACGAACATTCTTCTTCAATATTAGGGAGGGAAATGACTTCCAAGGCAAATCCACCATTTTTACACAGATATTTCACAGCATATTAAATTGCTTTGTTACCCTGAAAATCTTACCTGTTGTTATGAAAAAAAATAATAATAAATTATTTTCTTAATGAAAAACATACCTATTTCAAGTAATGCTTTATAGTCCTTTCACCTCAACTAGGATACAAAAATCTAGTTTAGTGCTACAGCTCCTTAGAATGTTCCCTTACTGTAAACCCAGGGAATTGCTACAGAGCCAATAACTAAAATCTCCTTAGCACTGTGTCTGAAATTCTCCCAGAATTTGTCCAGCATCAAGACATTTAATCCTATTACATGGTCCCACCATAAGCCTACGTTTATCTGCCTATTCCTAGGCCTTCTACTATGCAATTGTTTTGGGGGAACCAATGTTTAAAATCCTTAAAATTGCACGGCAGTTATTTAAACTATCTCCTCTTCCTCTCATGACCTTGCAGGGTTACTGCTTCAGCATAATGGTTTTAAGATAGCGCGCCGTGTCTTTCTATTTCTCGCCAACAGATCATTTTAAGGTCCCTTTTGCAACCCAAATTACTATCGGCCCACGAGGGCACATACTTGATTCACGAGTGGCCAGCAAAGCGCCTGCTGGTGGGCGCTTAAGAAACATTCTGAGTCGAACAGCTCTTTAAGGGTCAATCCGCTCTTCACTGGCCATGCAAACTCTGCCCAACACTGGGAGGTTTCAAAGGCGTCAAGGACATAAAGCACAACTTAACCTTCCCCTGGACCTTGCCTTGGGTCCTCCCCTCCCCCTCACTTTGCGGGCCCAGGTAAAGACTGCAAGATACTCCTTGCCCGGCACAGAGCAGGAGGCCCGCAAGTACTTTTTAGCTGAATGAATCCAAGACCGCCCTGAAATTAATTCGGACTAAGGTCTCAATCCTGAGGTCCCAGATGACAGCTCCTCGTGGCCTTCACCCCGCCCCACCCCGCCTCAGGAGACTTGGCATAACCTTGCAGTCTCTCCAGCCCCTTCGCGTGCCCTTCTCGGATCCGAGGCGCTTCCTGCAGCCCGGGCCATCCGGAGCCTCCAGGGACCAGAGGCCTGGGGCCTGGCCGGCCCTGCGGCCCCCGTTCCATCCCACTCGCCCCCACCCGATTCCCTCTAATCGAGCTCGTCCAACCCTTGCAACTCTCCCGTTCCTACCGCAAGCTGTCATACCATTGCGGCTGCACGGCCCAGGCCGAGACCCCCACGACGCCCGCCCGAGAAAACATGGTGGTACTGGCCCTGCTGAAGGTCGGTCAGACAGGCCTCAGCGCGCATGTGCACGAGCTTCCCCACGCCCCCTCCCACCCCGCTTCCTTCTTCAGTCTCGCTCACTGACGCCAAACGGAGGCAAACCTCGCGAGCTTTGGGGCCCAGCCTTCCGAGGCTCCACCTTAGTCCCTCTCGGTGCCGGTGTTTGTCCCGCCCACCGTTCTCAGCCCCATTCCGCTTCCGGTCGGCAGGGCGCTGGGTTGCAGAGAGTTATCGCTGCGGTGGTCGCGATGGGAAAGTCAGATTTTCTTACGCCTAAGGCCATTGCCAACAGGATAAAGTCCAAGGGGCTGCAGAAGCTGCGCTGGTATTGCCAGATGTGCCAGAAGCAGTGCCGGGACGAGGTAAGCGGACCCGGTATGGCCCCTCGCCCCGTCCTCTCCCCTGGCTAGGTCCAGCTGGAAATTTGGGCTCAAGTCCCTCATGCTGAGGGTGAAGGCGTGGATCTCAGGGTCCTAGTCGTGGGGTCTGTACTGGACCAGTCAGCTAGTCAACACAATAGGGACTCTTCCCTGCAGCCCCCGTCCTAGAGTCTTTGACGCCCCTTTCCTCCTAATCTGCCCTCTAAGATATGCGAAATAAGAGAAGATTTTTCAGCTCTCGTTGAAGTGATCCCACTTAAGCTGTCGTAAAACGGAGGCCAGAATAATAAAATGTCAGGCGCCTAGGCAAAAACAATAACAATCATCTCCGACTTGGCATGACTCTTAAGAGAAACAGAATGATTCGGATTCACACCTCTTTTCAGGATCTGATGAAAAAGAAGAGTTAAGTTCTTGCACACTGCTCATCTAACAATAATTTATTGAGCAGCTTCAATGTGCTAAGGCCAGGATATTATTGTGGTTAAGATGCGGACGGGAGTCATACTGTCAGAATTGTGAAGCCTACCCGCACCACTCACTGCTGTGTGGTGTTGGGCAAGTTATTTACATTTTCTCTTCCTGTTTACTTATCTGTAAAGTGGGAATAATAACTATACCTACTTGTAGGATTGTTTTGAATTTTAAATGAGTGAAATCTATGTAAAGCGACCCAGGGGGTCTTTGGGCAGATCTTGAAAAGCTTTGTGTGCCGTGCTATGGGGTTTATACTTTTTCCTTTAATGAGATGGACGATGAATGAATCGTCTTAAAGAATTGAGAGCGGATTAGTGATGTGATTATATTTTTCTCTGGAGATTGAATTGGGTAAGGATGGGAGAACATCATGCAATTGGAATAATCTAATTCATTGTTTCTGCAAGTAAAGGATGAGATATTTTAGGTGGGGCTCACAGTGAATAACATTGATACTGTTACTCGTTTTCATTTCTCTTTAATTCTTTCTATTTAAGTCAAAGTGAAATTCTCACACAGAAAACTAGAGACTAGTATGTTTAACATCCATATAACCATTACCCAGATTAAACATGTTAAGTATTTTATCATAATTACTTTTTTCTGAAATATTTTAAAGTAATTTACAAACTTCAGGATGTCACCTCTAAGTACTTAAATAGGCATTTCTAAAATATCAAGGTATTTTCCTGCAGACCCACAATATATATCATCACACATAACAATAAGAATTCCTTTATGTCTTCTGACACAGACTCCGTACTCACGTTTCCTCAGTTCTTCCTCCAAATGCATTTTAAAGCAATTTTTAAAAAACCAAGATCTCATCAAAAGCTATGAATTGGATTTAGTTATTAGGGCTTTTAAAAAAATAAACTTTATTTTTTGAACAGTTTTACATTGACATGTCATTTATCACCAAAATCGACAATTTACATTAGCATTCACTCTTGGTGTTGGACATTCTGTGGGTTTGGACAGATGTCTGATGACATGTATCCACCATTATGGTATCACACAGAGTAGTTTCACTGCCCTAAAAATCTCTGTGCTTCAGGTTATTAGTACTTTTAATTCTCTTTAAATTCTAAATTTACAGTAGAACCCACCTCCTCCACCCTCTCCTTCCACTCCCCAACTTTTTTTCTTGCCATTGACTTGAAGACACTAGGTCAGTCAATTATCAGAACATTCCTACTTTCTGGATATGTTAAATTATTTCCTTGTAATTGTGTTTTGCCTCCTTTCTCTAACTCTTATAGTTGTTGTTATCTAAAGACTTGATTAGTTTCAGGTGAAACATTTTGGGACTAATATTTTATAGGTGATCCTGTGTATTTCATATTGCATCACATAAGGAAGCCCATATGTCTAGTAGGGCTAAGGTGATTAAGTAAAGATGACAGCCTGTAAAGTAATGTTAGAAAGTAGTATTTTCCCTCTTGCAACTAGTAGGGTGATACTTTGGAATCATGACCATATATCTAGTTTTCCGTTAATCTTCCCTGGAGGATATTTTTTCCATTGATTTTTTTAGAGAGAATGGAAGGGAGGGAGGGGGAGAAAGAGAGAGAGGGAGGGAGAGAAACATCCATGTGAGAGAGGAGAAACATACTGATTGATTGCCTCCCAAAAGCCCCTACCTGGGCCAGGGATCGAACCTGCAACCCCTGATGGAGAATGGAACCTGGACCCATTGGTGTGTAGGCCGTCACTCTAACCACTGAGGCACACTGGCCAGGGCTATTGACTTATTTTTAATTTATGGAAAATGGGACTGGTTTTTCATTTACAAGACCAATACCAAGTTTCTTTATTTAAGTAAGAGTAATACATGGGTAGTACACAGACCAGCAAGTATTGTGTAGATGGTCTGTGGATAACTAAAGATTAGGAAACTACCTTAGTCAAGAACCAGTGTTGAAATCAGGACAGTGGCAATGGGATTGAGCAGAGGGACTGGATAAGAGTTATTAAGAAAGTTGAGTAGGCTCAGTGATAAATGGAGTGTAGGGTGAAGGAGAAGGACACTGGGATGCCGGCCTTGGTCGTGGCTTGCCGATTGGGTGTGTGATCTAGTGCTATTCACTGAGATGGGGGACACAGGAGGAGAGGCACATTTTTCATTTCTATTGCTAGTAAAGAATCAGGTTCAAATGCTAAGAAGAATGTATACAAAGTCAAAACTTGTATGTTTTTATAATCATCTGAGAAGATAGAGATTTAGTATGTTTAACATAAGGTTTATATAATATGCAACAATGTATTTTGGATAATAGCTAAAGTAGAGGAAAGTGAGTGAAAAATAGTGTCCTTAATGGAAATTAATGACCCATTTTATTTCATTATATTCCTTGAAACACTTGTATAATACTCTGTGTGAAGTAGGTGCTTGCAGGAATTTGTTCAACTGAGTCAAAAAAACCCAAAATTACTCTTGTTATTGGGTGCAGTAATGTTTTTTACTAATGTCTGTTTTCCACAGTACTACAGTAAACCTTCGGATATAACGGACAAAATTTCCAGTTCTGTATGTCATACGTGAAAATTAACACCCTGTTAATTTTAAAATGCTTTTAACCAAGATTTGCTTATAATTAGATTAACAGGCTATTTTTGTTACTAATTCACTGTTATTTTTAACAAATTTTAGCAAATAGGCCATATGTTGGAAAAAATATTGTAGTAACTTTGCCAACATAAATAAATATTACATATGTATAACTGTAGTCTACATATTTAAATCTGAGAGTCACTGCTGGTAAGCAATGTCCAGGGAATGATTAGCCTGTGATCACACCGCATCTTGCATGGTAATTGATTCTGTTGTTGCCTGGCATGACTTTCTGCAGCAGTTTTAAGGCCTGTGGGCAGCTGTTCCCACGTGCTAAGCCATGCCCCAGCCACACGTTTGTTTACTTGTGGTGACGGTGAATGCAGGCACTGATTAGACCTATTCAATATAAATTTAAAATTACAGTAATACATATAGAAAACTTTTCTGTGAAATTAAACTTTTCATACATAATTTTAATTACACAAATGTGTCTACATAAGTAAAAATGGGTAAACTAACTAATTTGTCAATTTGTTAACATAACATTCAGAAAATCTACTTTATTAAAGCTTTCTGCTTTAATGGACACCCCTTCACCTGAATTAGTCCATTATATTGCAGTTTTACTGTATTTTTTGTCTCTTTAATACCTGCGATTATTCTTTGATTAGCAGGGTTGCAAAACTCAACTTCGTAATTTGGTAGTGATTTGGTTATTTTTCATAGTTTACCATCAAAGAGCAACTTTTTAAAAGTTTAGTTAAATACTTCTACTTAGGTCCCATTATGATGACCTAAATCAGAATTTAACTACTCCTTTCACATTTTTTGTAGAATGGCTTTAAGTGTCATTGTATGTCCGAATCTCATCAGAGACAACTGTTGCTGGCTTCAGAAAATCCTCAGCAGTTTATGGATTATTTTTCAGAGTAAGTAACTCAAAGACATTCTTATCTCAAAAGCTTTATTCAGTTGGACATTAATAGATACTTAATATTTCATATATTGGAGGCTCTGTTTATTCCTTACATATTAACTTGATAGCTATATTATCTTTGTGCTCAGTTTCCATCTTCCTTGAACAATTCATCATAGTACGAAATTGTTGAAAAAAATATTTCTCACAATTCGTTTTCCCTTCTTTTCACTTCTAACAAACTGCTTTAGAAGAAACTGTCTTTTCTCCTAAAGCAAGTATGGCTAAGAGCATAGCTCTGGAGTCAGACTGCCTGACTTTAAATCCTTCAAATCCAGGTTTCTCCACTCATAAGCTATGTGACTGGGTGAATAACTAAAGTTCTTCTGGGCTTTAATCTCATCTGTAAAATGGGGCGAAAAATAGCACCCTCTTCCAAGTATTGTTTTTCCTTGATAGGGTTTATATGAGGTTATATGAATTAGTACTTTTAAACTGTTTAAAAGAGTACCCAATACTGAATAATATTAGCTGTTAATTATTATTAATAATAATATTTTGTTTTGCTTCTCTCCATCTTTTTCTTTCCAAAGTTCTAGACCTTTTGGTCTAAGGACCATCTTGAATACCACCAGGGTACATATGGCACACTTGGGAAACACCACTCTGTCACAAGCCATCTACACTCAGTGCCTTCCTTGCCACCTCCCTCCCGTTCACTCCGTCCACTGCAGCTGCCTTCCGCCCGTCAGACTCCAGAAGTCACTCGTGCCTTTTTCCGTCTTTCTCTTCCTTGCTCTTTCTTCAGTGGGTAATGCTCTTAACTCACAGCAGAATCTCCTCCCTGATTTACATTCTTCCCTGGTCTCCCTCCTACGATTCCCTCTGCTCACTTCCTGCATTCGTTCCTCTTCCTCTCCCAGCTCTTCAGATGTGGGAAGTCCTGCGGCTGCCCACTTGGCTTCTCATCCCACTCGAAACAGTCTCCATGAGTTACGTTACTCTTCTGCTACCTTTACGTTTGGATAAACATAAACTCCTAAGTCTGGATGTTCATTCTTTTTTTTTTTTTTAATATATCTTTATTGGGCCTCTTTTTCATGGCGCCTCGGAGGCGGTCGGCTGCTTCAGGATGAAGCTGAACATCTCTTTCCCAGTCACTGGCTGCCAGAAACTCATTGAAGTGGACAATGAACGCAAACTTCATACCTTTTATGAGAAGCGTATGGCCACAGAAGTTGCTGTTGACGCTTTGGGTGAAGAATGGAAGGGTTATGTGGTTCGAATCAGTGGTGAGAACGACAAACAAAGTTTCCCCATGAAGCAGGGTGTCTTGACCCATGGCCGTGTCCACCTGCTGAGTAAGGGGCATTCCTGTTACAGACCAAGGAGGACTGGAGAGAGAAAGCGCAAATCTGTTCGGGGTTGCATTGTGGATGCCAACCTCAGTGTTCTCAACTTGGTCATTGTAAAAAAGGGAGAGAAAGATATTCTTGGTCTCACTGATTCTACTTTGCCTCGTCGCCTGGGGCCCAAAAGAGCTAGCAGAATCCGCAAACTTTTCAATCTCTCTAAAGAAGATAATGTCCGCCAATATGTTGTGAGAAAGCCCCTAAACAAAGAAGGTAAGAAACCTAGGACTAAAGCACCCAAGATTCAGCATCTCGTTACTCCACGTGTCCTGCGACACAAACATCGGCGTATTGCTCTGAAGAAATAGCGGAATAAGAAAAATAAGGAAGAGGCTGCAGAATACGCTAAACTTAAGGCCAAGAGAATGAAGGAGGCCAAAGAAAAACACCAGGAACAGATTGCCAAGAGACGTAGGCTGTCCTCTCTGAGAGCTTCTACCTCTAAGTCTGAGTCCAGTCAAAAATGAGATTTTGTAAGAGTAACAAATAAATGAGCACAGACATAAAAAAAAAATATATATATATATATATATATATATATATCTTTATTGGATTTCAGAGAGAGGAAGGGAGAGGGAGAGAGAGATGGAAACATCAATGATGAGAGAGTCATTGATCAGCTGCCTCGTGCACGCCCCCGACTGGGGACCGAGCCCGCAACCCAGGCATGTGCCCTGACCAGGAATGGAACCTTGATCTCCTGGATCCTAGGTTGATGCTCAACTGCTGAACCACACCCGGCCGGGCTGGATGTTCATTCTTAACATCTGTCATGAGTTACAGACTTTTTTTTCTCCTGGGCAGTTCTAGTCTATATTTCTGAAGGCCGTCTCAAAGTCAACCTTTCCAAAGCTGGGCTTAATTAGGATTCTCCCCACCATACCTGCTGGTTATCCTGCGCTGGCTAGTAACTGCCCACGCAGATGGCTACTCTGCAGACCTCGGTGTCCTCTGGCAATTCCCTCCTGTGGGTTCTCTTCTGCAGTGTCCTTTAAATTTATGCCTTTTCCATTCTCACAGCCCCAGTAATTGTCCTCAGTGTCTCCACCTAAAAGATTTCAGTGACTTCCTCACTGGTCTCCCAACCTGCAGCTTCTGCTCCTCCTCTACCTGTTCTCTGTCTGTGGCTCACAAGCCAGTGCCTGCATCAGAATTACCTGGAGGGCTTGTGAAGGCAGAATGGCAGACCCCACACCCACTTTCCAATTCCATAGATCTGGGATGGGGCTGTAGACTTTGCATATCAATCAAGTGCCCGGGTGATATTGATGCTGTTGGTCGGGGACCACACTATGAGAATTGTTACTGTATACTCTCCACCAGCATTCTCTTTCTAAATCACAGATTGTCACAAATTAACTCCTAGGTGAATTATTTTATGCTCTTCCCTTGTCTGCCTAAACCCAACCCCTTTGCCATGACTTTCACAGTACTTCAAAAATTAGCCCTAATGTTATATTCCAGCTACAGCTGCTCCCTGTTACTCTGTTCTACCCCGACGCACACTCGTTTTTATTGCCCTCAGTGTTGGCCAGATTCAGTTGTCTTTTCTCAGATGTTTGAAGCTTTCATGTCTCTGTGCCAACTGGGAATGGCCTTCGCTTCCCTTGTAGAGGTCCTGTTTACACTTCACCGCCTGTACTAAAAATCACCTCGGGCACCTCTGGGTATCTCCTGCAACTCTTCCTATGACATTTTGTTACATCTCTTTTTCAATTTGACTCCTGTTATAATTGGGTTGCAAGATAGTAACCTAGGTGAAGATAAATGTTTTATTCACCTATGTTTATCTAGCACTTAACACAGTGTACTCAGTTCAGAGGGACACACTGAGTGCCAGTTTCCTGTGGAATAAGGGCAGTTTTGTTGTTATCAATAGAAAGGGGTTGTTATGCCACAGTCAGTAGTGCTAAGAGACTTCATAAAGGACCCTCTCCAAAGATGTGTAGTCACTTTTCCTATGGCTGCTTTGCCAAGACAAAAAGTTTCAACTCCAGACTGACTTTTAACTTTGATTCTTGAAAGCTATAATCTTTTGGGATTCTTGTTCAGTTTTGAAAGGTCCATAACAGATATTCAATAAATGTTTCATACATCATTTGAAAATTCATACTGTACAGTGGCTTAAATTTCAGGAAGATAATGCTATATATTTGTAGAAATTACCTTATGCTTTCCTGTCTTTATTAGGGAATTCCGAAATGACTTTCTAGAACTTCTCAGGAGACGCTTTGGTAAGCATCTTAAGTATTGTGCCCATAATAACTTCCTTGTCCTATAACCTGCTCAGGATCAACAGTTTCACATTTTGTTTTTAGGCACTAAGAGAGTTCACAACAACATTGTTTATAATGAGTATATCAGCCACCGAGAACACATCCACATGAATGCCACTCAGTGGGAGACTCTGACTGATTTTACCAAGTGGCTGGGAAGAGAAGGTAAGAATGGGATGTATTTGAATAGTAGTAATTATGTGGCTCCATTGTGAGGAGAGTGAGTTGTCATAATTTCTGTGTAAATTTATTAGAAAGAGGATGAGTAGGGTAATTAAAAGACTGGAGCCCTGGCTGATGTGGCTCAGCTGGTTAGAGCATCGTCCCATGCACCTAACGGTCTCAGGTTCGATTCCAGGTCAGGGCGCATACGGGAGGCAACTGGTCAGTGTTTCTCTCTCACATTGATGTTTCTCTCTCTCCCCCTCCCTTCCTCTCTCTCTAGAATCAATGAAAAACATATCCTTGGGTGAGAATTTAAAAAAAAAATGTGGAGAGGAGCCTAATATTCCGGGGTTGATTTTGTGTATTATAGTTGAGTATGAATATCTGGAATCACTCTTTTGACAGGGCCAAGATGCATCATTGAAGCAGCCTCTCATTTAGATCAAGGATTGTTATCAGTCCTCTTCCATTTTTGCCCCTCATATTCATTTCACTTTAGGAAACTTGCTACCCCTCTTAAGGAGATTTTTTAAATGTATTGCTTTTTTCGTTTTTAATCTTCATAGGATGAAAAGTTGAAGAGAAGAAAAGAGAAGGAGATTTTGTGTCAGTGTATTACTTAGTCAGTGTGTTATTTATTTGGTGTGTTACTTAGTCAGTGTGTTATTTCATTCCATTTTAGGGGAATAATTTCTGTTTAGTTGCATTAGCAGAATATCATGTACTCATTGGATGTTGAACACTTACACACAATTGATTAATTACTAAGCAAGGTAATACTTCTTTCATGTGTTTTTCTTGTTTGAATATGTTTCCTCAACGTAGCTAGTTAAAAACCAGAATAGCAATTTTATGTTCAAAGAAATAGAATATTCCACTTAAAATAGCTAAATCTCATTAGTCAAGAATACGGAAAATTCATGTACTGCATGAATTTGTATATTTGAATGTATGAGTAAATAATGCAGAGATAAAAACACATGTATATTTACCTTCAGCTTTTATTATATACAAATTTATATGTCTGTTTTTTGGTTTTTTTTTTAAGGCTTGTGCAAAGTGGATGAGACCCCAAAAGGCTGGTATATTCAGTATATAGACAGGGACCCAGAAACTATCCGCCGGCAACTGGAACTAGAGAAAAAGAAGAAGCAGGACCTTGATGATGAAGAGAAAACTGCTAAATTTATTGAAGAACAAGTGAGAAGAGGTCTGGAAGGGAAAGAACAGGTGGGCAACAACATCATCGAGAGAGGCAATAGAAAGAGGACTAAAGAAGCAAAATTGCCTGTTTTGTTAAGCATTGAATTGAGTTTTGTAGGTATTGTGCTTTAATTAAGAGGAAAAAGAGCATGGCTGAGTGTAAAAGCCCAGGTTTTGGAGTTGAGACAAACTTGAATCACTTCCTGACTCACTGACTTCACAATCTTGTGTGATTATATAATCTCCTAAACCTCAGTATTTGTATCTCTCAAAAGAGGCAGTAGTTAATGGGAAAGAGATAAACAGATTATTTCTCCTGATTGTAATTAATGCAGGGCTGGAGATAAACAGTGTGTAGGAAAGTAGAGGGCCAGAGCTTGCTCCAGCCTGGGAGGGTATAAAATGTTTGAAGGTAGATACAGCCTCTGGGTTGAGAATTCTTAAAGAATTAATGGGCAAAATCTGGGTAAATGGGGGAGGGAGGGAAGGCATGGTGATGGTTCAGGGGTTGGAATAGCTAGATCAAGGCATTTATTTCAACAGATATTTATTGGGTACCTCCTGTGTGCCAGACACTATTCTAGGCAAGAGAGGATACAGCAGTGAACAAAAGAAAAAATCTGATCAAATCATTCTCAGTTGGAGAATATTTACAATACATATAATTTCTCAATTAGGTTCTCAGTCATGTTCAAGTTGTATCTTAGGGCTACCTTGCAACATAGGTAGCAAGTCCTAATATATGAGTATTGAATATTGATAGTAAATGCTCTGTGAACAAAACCTTCAAACTTTTTCCCCCTTAGGAGGCCCCCGTTTTTACAGAATTAAGCAGAGAAAACGAAGAAGAGAAAGGTAAATGTTACTTCTTTTTTGAATGTGGATGCTTTTGTATTGGTTCTGCTAAGAGTTAGCAGCATGTTTGGGAGCAAGACGTAATCTGTCTAGATTGCATTTTTCCCATCAATAAAATGAAAAGGCCAAGAAATACAGTACTAATGAATTGGATGGGATGCCCTCAGCTGCAGGTCACAAAACTGGCAAGTAACAAACTTGCCTAAACAATAAAGAAATATTTTGCCATACCAAGAGTCCCAGAGGTAGGGTAATTCAGGATGCCGAACAGTCAGCAGCTGGACATGAGGTGGCTGCTGCCATTTCCAGCTGTCATGTGCAGACCCAGCATTGTTCAGAAGATGACAACATCTTTTCTGGAGTCCCGTATAAGCAAGGAAGCTTTTTCTAGAAGTTACTCCTCCTGCCAGTGGACTTCCTTTTTTTTTTCTTTAAAAATATGTTTTTATTGATTTTTTTTAGAGAGGAGGAGGGAGAGAGAGAGAGAAACATCAGTGAGAGAGAAACATTGATTAGCTGCCTCCTACACAACCCCTATTGGGAGCTGAGCCCCCAACCTGGGCATGTGCTCTGACCAGGAATTGAACTGGTGACCCCTTGGTGCATGGGATGAGGCACACCGGCTGGGCTAGACTTCTTTTTGAATGTCATTGGCCAGTCTGTATCACATGTCTACCTCAAGAACAGTCACTGAGAAGGGAATGGGATTGTTTTATTTAGACCAAAAGAACCTTATTGATCACTTCCCAGGGGTCCCACCTTATTATCCTGTTGTCTTGGGCATTAGGTTTTCAACTGATTCAAATGTGAATTTTGAGTAGATACAAACATTCAGACTAAAGCATCCTCAGCCATGTGTGAGAGGTATGGACACCTAAACAAAATTGGATTCCTATTGATGAGGGGAGCAGGGGCATGGAGTGGAAAGATAGCCAGGACTGTCTGCTACAGCTGGATCATGAAGGTCTTTCCCAGCCCTATGAGCATCCATCCAGTATATTCTACAGGAATTTATGACCTCGTGATAGGAGCATTCCAGCTCTCTTTTTTTTCAGCATGCTCATGGAAAACAACAACAACATACTAATGAATTTCTGTGTGGATATATTGTATCATATCTGAGAAGTTTTATTATTTTCCTGAAATATATGGAATACCAATTTTTCTCTTCTAGTGACATTTAATTTGAATAAAGGAGCATGTAGTTCAACAGCAACATCTTCCAAGTCAAGGTGAGCTACATGAATAGGTATCTTAGAACTTGAGAATTTTTGTCAAATGTTGATGACTACATTTTAAAAGCTGCAATACTGTGAATTATTTTTTTCTGGTTGTATTTTTTTTTTGGCTTTTGTTTGATGGTTCGTTGGTTTTGTGTGTATGTGTGGTTTTTCTAGCAGCTGGTGGGTTTTTTTTTCTTATTTGCCTGTCATAAGATGACTGTCTTTTGAGGAAAGGCTTATTTTGATTAAAGGCTCCATATGGGTACAGTGTTGCTGCTCCGTCCATCCTTCCCCACTTACTGGTTCCTCTGTGCTACTGCGGTGCTGTTTATTTTTCTATCATAGTCCACTTAGCAAGTTTAAATGTTAGCTAGGGTATACACTTTTTGCTTTACCTGCTGTGTTATAATTTTCTGAATATCGAGACTAAATTATTGACCTAGCTCCTTAGTACTGTCACCTACTACAGTATAAATGCACTAGCCAGCACTCAGTAATAATTGTCTTCTCTTCTATATGGTGTAGTACAGGCAGGAGTCCACAAACTCTCTTAAAGTGCCACATAGTAAATATTTTAGACACTATTGGTCATACATATATGTCTTTGTCACAACCATTTAGCTCTGCTGTTCAGAGTGAGAATGCAAACATAGCAGTGCATAAATGAATGAACACACTGTGTTTCAGTAAAATCCTACTTACAAAAACAGGCTTCAGGCTGGACTTGGTCCTCAGTCTGTAGTTTGCCAAACCCTGGTATAGCATGTAGTTAGGTACTTCTCTCCGCTTTTCATGTTCTTTTCTAGATATATATTCTTTTACCAAATATTCACTATTGTTGATATGCAGTGCATTCAGTTTGGTTAAGGAGGTTAGAAAGCTAAATATAAGAGAAGATGTTCAGGAAGGTACCAGTATGTATGTGAACTTTACATGTTGTGTATTTAAGGCCCTCAGTTGTTTTTTGGAGGGAGGTTAATTTATAGGCTAGTGGCTATTTGCATGACTAAAGTGGCTAGGAGAATTGAAGGAAATGGGCTGGCTGAGTCAGCAATGTATAACTGCTTCAGAATGGCTTGCCAAATGTCTTAGCTTTAATCAAAATATTTCAGAATTAGCAACTACATTAGATGTCATGAAGAAATTGGTTAATTGAGTTCTATATAAGGTACATTTGAAAATTATTTTAAAGATATTGATATAATATCACATCATATGGTTTTAGACCCTTCTGTATTTCTCTCCATTCCAAGTGTAGGTGAATGTTAAGACTGGTCCCAGTGGTCCCCAAATTAATCACCCTTGTATTAGTTTTCTATGACTGTGGTAATTAATTACCACAAACTAGGTGGCTTGAAACAATGGAAATCTCGTCTGTCTCTGGAGGTCAGAATTCTGAAATCAAGGTGTCTGGAGGGCTGTGCTCCCTCCAGAGGCTCTGGGGGAGAATCAGCTTCGGGTGGCTACTGACATTCCTTGGCTTGTGGCTGCATCCCTCATCTTCATATCACCTTCATGTGTGTGTCAGATCTCCCTCTGTTTCTCTCTTAAACCTTGCTGACCAGCTATTTCGAGCCAGAACTCACTGTGTGGCCAGCTACTTTTCCAACGTGACCAGTAAGCAAGGTGTTTAAAATTACTTAATTTAAGTGCAGACATGAGTTATCTCGTGATGGGTTAACAACGTTCAGACACAGAAACATATGTATACTGGTGACTGGTCAGCAAGGTGATTAAAAGAATGCTCTATGGACACACACAATAGGGTGGTGAAGGCCTGGGGAGGGGGGGAATTAGGGAGGAGGGGGGTCAATAGGAGAAAAAATTGGAACATCTAATACTTTCAACAATAAAGATAAATTTTTTTAAAAAAGCAATCTTGGTCAAACATTTACAAGGGGGGGAAAAGAATGCTCTAATGCTACCTTTAAATGCTTAAAAAAATTTTTTTTAGCCTGGCCAGCGTGGCTCAGCATTTGAGCATCAACTTATGATCCAGGAGATCAAGGTTTGATTCCCATTCAGGGCACATTCCCGGGTTGCGGGCTCGATCCCCAGGAGGGGGCTTACAGGAGGCAGCTGATCAGTGACTCTCTCTTCATTGATGTTTCTATCTCTTTCTCTCTTCCTCTCCTTTTCTCTCTCTGAAATCAATAAAGACATATTAAAAAAAAATGTTTTTAAACAAATAATTGAAAATAATAATTCTGTTGTATTTTCTTAACATCACATTTTTTTTCTTGGTTATCTCCCTGGTAGCTTTGGGCAAATATTTATTTGTTTCATCTTTTGTAAATATGACAGATTAAATAATTAGACTGGTAAGTTTCATTTAGTCAGCAAATATTAATTTAGCATCAATTTAATGTGAGTCACAACATAGTTACTGCTACATTTCAGGGGGGAAAATTTATACATATGGTCCCTTCTCTACTGTGAGCAAGGAGTCTTATATACAAATGATTATAATACAAAGTGGAGTGTGATGTATGCCATAAAGTGCTATGGCATTTTAAAAATGACAATTGGAGAAATCTCATGAATCATGGATCTTAAAGAATTTTAGCAGATGGAGAAAAATGGAGAGATTCTTTTAGGTATAAAAGAGGCATGTGTAAATTTGCAAAAGCATGAAGCATAGGGCATGGCTCAGTCAATAGCAAGTTGTTTATAATGGAGAGTGAACATAGTAATTCAGGGATAATATTCTGGGGTCATTGGTTACAATTGTATATCAGCACTAAAAAAATTAGAATTTACACTGTCAATCTAGGCAGTCAGGCAATCAAAAATATTTAACATGTTAAGGTCTTTGCTTTGAAAAAATAGAACTGGCAATAGTGTGCTAGACTTCTATCAGTCATTTTACAAACATTTAATCCTTGTAATCAAGCTCGGAGGTGGGTCACGTTATTATCCCCATTTATAGATGAGGAACTGAAGCTTAGAAAAATTTATTACTCAAAATCCTAGAAGTAGCCTCAAACCCTGACCTGCCTAACGCCGAAGCCATTGCTGTCATCGCTCTGCTATACCAGTTATATTGGCACTCGGTGAAGGGGTGAGGAGAAGGTAGGAGGGAGATAAAGACAGGAAGGGTTACATGTTCTCCTGGTGCCTAGAGCCCTGTAAGGGACATAGATGGGTCCTTTATTGTTTCAACTAATTTGTTAGACATGAATCATGTAGCAGATTTCTTCTATGTTGTTTATTCTGCACATTCTAAAGCCTTTGTGTATAGTTGCTTTTTATTTTTTTAAATCTTTATTGATCTCAGAGAGAGGAAGGGAGAGAGAGAGAGAAACATCAATGATAAGTCATGATTGATCGTCTGCCTCCCACACGCCCCCGACTGGGGACCGAGCCCACAACCCAGGCATGTGCCCTGACTGGGAATCGAACCACGATCTCCTGGATCCCAGGTCAATGCTTAACCACTGAGCCATGCCGGGCTGGGCTGTGTATAGTTTTTGTTAACAAGCATGGTTCTTCATCTCACCAGTTCTTTGGGACCAAGTGCTTTGAAGGTAATAGAGACCATAGCATCAGTGAAACGGAAAGAATCTTCCCAGAGCTCAGCTCAACCAAAAGAAAAGAAGAAAAAGAAATCCGCACTTGATGAAATCATGGAGGTACAGTTGATGAACTGCTTGTTCACGCCTTAACATTAGAGGAATGATGCAGTTTAAACCAGGGAAACTTAAATAGTTTTACCATTATTATATTACTATAAAGTTAGAAAACCGTGCATATACTAGGTTAGGAAAAAGGAGCCTAGATACAGTTCCACTGGAATAGAATTAGAACTCTCCAGCTAGGTTTAGTTTCTTTCCTCAAGTGCTGCTTTCAGAACTCTCCAGCAACTATGGTCTGTAGAGTTCAAAGAGAAGGACTTCAGTGGTGATGGAAGCTAGACATGAAAGCTCTGTTCCCCTTCTGTGGCTATGAAACTGGCATCCTCCATGGAGTCCCCCGCCAACCTGTGCTCTCCTATTGTCTAACTTCCAGTTTCATCTTTTAGCCAGCAGGAAAAAGCTGTGACATCATTTTAATTTGATTTCACCTGATGGCTGTTTATGTGATGAACTATTGAAAACTTGTGATTGTCTGGATCTAGGGCCATACTTTCTACCTGGAACTCTAGAGTAGTTCTGCAGAAGGTTCTTAATACACTTCAAACATTTCTTTATCCTTTCCAACACATGAATTTATCAGTTAATTTTTGAAATAAATGGAAAAAGAGAAGAGGAAGGACAGGTGAAGAAATGGATACAAGAAGAAGCTTTTTTTTTTTCATGTAATATTTTCTCTAGTCTCTCAACCCTTTTCTTCATGTGTGAAAGGACAGAAGGTCATTGTTTGGTCTTCCATGTTACTGAGGAGCAGTCTGAAAAGCTTAAAGTATAACATAAGATGTGTACACTTTGAGATGTGGTCATTCCACCATTCAACAAATATTGAGTTGCTGTTACTGTGCTAGGTAGGTGTTATGTGAGGTCATAGGACTATAGAATAGGGATAAAAACACAGTACCTGTGTGTCATGGAGCTTTTATTCTAGTGAGGGAGACATTCCGTGAACAAGTGAATAATAAGTAATTACATGCAAAATGCTAAGTCCTAAGGAGGTGTGAGCATCAAGAGTGGGGAGATAGCTTGTGCTACGGCGGGAAAGAGCTCTACGGCAGGCATCAGAAGGAGAGGCCCATGTGGCTGCAGCGTGGTGAACGCACAGTGGTAGCCTTTGAGGTTAGAAAGGGAAGGAGAGGAAATACCAGAGAGGTCTTACAGGCCATGGCACAGGCTTTTTAAATTTAATTCAAAGGAAAATGGAAAGCCAGATCTACCTGCTTTGAATATAATACATGCTAAATTTAGAATACTTTTTGTTCATATGAGAAAATTGGACTAATTAAAATGAGGTTTAGAATCAACCGAAGAATGACATCATTCAGTTCCAATGAAAGTTGGTACTTGGGGTTCTAACTTTAAGCAGTTAAAGGAAAAAAAGACGTGACCTAAGGCCATAATGGCCAGTCAGCTTTTGCTCTTTTGGTCACCCTTTTATTTACATCTCTCTTGGTTGTATGTTTCTTCCCCTCCATTTACAAGCTTTATTATGCATATCAAACAGGGAAGCTTCTCTTTGCCATAAGACTCTATACCTAATTGAGCTGTGCTAAATTGGTCTGTAAGTGTTGTTTTTACCACATGAAAACACTGCCTGTTTTCTAGTTCATGACAGTCACCTGGGAGGAAGTAGGTGGAGGGCAATACTTTAGTGTTGGCGGATGGCCTCGCAGTATTGCCTAAGTAGAGTCTGTTTGTGTTATTTTCTTGGTCAACTGACTTGCTTTATGACATTTTTAATTCAAACTTTAATCAAAAACTAATTGTAAAAACGTTTATTTTTATATCAGAGTTTGCAAATTATACTGCTGATTTTCTGAGAAGTATGTTTTGATTGTCTTCTGTGTTCTACAGATTGAAGAGGGCAAGAAAAGAGCTGCCCGAACAGACTACTGGCTTCAGCCTGTACGTATTCAGTTGGACTGTCTTAAGTTCTAAATGTACTTTCGAGTGAATGATTTAAGTAGCATTTGGTATGAACGACTAACTTTCTCAGCTGTATATAAACTACATAGACTTATAACTTCAGTGAGATTTTTTTTCTATTTGATCTTTAATTATTGGTTGTACCTGTATTGGCGGGTTACTTCATGTTTTTTAGGCTAATAATATCCCTTGAGTTTAATGCCAAACTTGTTTATGACACCTTAAATTTAAGCCTGGAATTATTTTCCATTTTTCCTATAAGACAAAAAATTGTAGTTTCAGAATTAGAATTAAATAGAATTACAAATGCCGAAGTACTAGTTTTCAACTTACGTCTTATTGAACTTAAAATACTCATTTACTTTGTCAAAAAACAGGTTTTAATTTTACAAACTCAAAGAAAGCTTTGTATTTTGTTACTTGTTGCTTATTATCTTAAGACAATAATTTTATGACATTGTGTAAACATTGAAGTAAGTTTGAAATTATTGATTGATGCTCTGTTTTGAACTTACTGAGATGTGAAGGTCTCATAAAACCTTCAGAGCTCCTTAGTTATTCTTACAGAAGCTGGTTTGATCAGGAGAGTGAAAAGTAGTGTGTTATTTAGATGATTTCTGATTTGAAAAATAAGATTAATAATAACCTCAAAGGTCAAGATATTCTAAGCTCTGATCTTCATAGTCATTCTCCCACTCGCTTGGAAATAATACAGCTCTCATGTCTTAGTTTATATTTTTATATAATGGGAAATGCTTCTACCTCAGGATCACGTGACAGATCATGAAATAAATTATTTAATACAAGAATACTTCCTGTGCTAGCCCTAGCTGATTTGGCTCAGTGGTTAGAGCATCAGCCCATGGACTGAAGGGTCCTGGGTTCGGTTCCTACCAGGGGCAGGTGCCTCAGTTGCAGGCTTAATCCCCTGGCCATGTTTGGGGCAGGTGCAGGAGGCAACCAGTTGATGTGTCTCTCTCACATCAATGTTTCTCTCTGTCTCTCTCTCTTCCACTCTCTCTGAAAAGCAATGAAGAGGGTATTCTTGGGTGAGGATTAAAAAAAAATACTGTTAAATAAAAAGTATTTATTTTGGATAAATTATTTCAGTTAATTCTTATGTCAGCCCTATAAAGTAATTACTGTTACTATTCTGATTCTGTAGGTGAGGAAACCAAGGCCTAAAGTATTTGAGTAATTTCCTCAAGGTCGTTTAGGAAGCGGTGAGCCAGGATTTCCCTGGCAATCTGATTCATTGGGTGTACTCTCAGCTAGTAAACAGTACTACTTCCTGGGCAGCTGTAGCCACCCTGACTCCATCTCATCTCTAAGTGGAATTTTCATCAAGATTAGTAAAGAAAGGACCTGTAGGGAAGAGACCATCCATGAATTATTTTCGTTTCCCCTATTAAAGTAGCTAGCATTTGAACATTAATAGTGTTAAATAATGTTTGTGAAAAATGTAGTCAAGAATTTTGATGAAAGCAGTAGTTAGTTCTTAATTAGGAGTGATTAAGGAAATTGTTTACCTCAGTCTCTATAATAGCAAACATCATAGAACAATTTATTACATACACTCGTCCTCTAAAGACAGAAGCTTAGGGTACAGTAGTCCAAGGGATTTCACAATACACCTGCTTCAGTACTCCCACCATCCAGTCTCCTGGTGTGAAATGCACATTTTCACTAACCTCCTGGGTGAATCTTACATGTACCCTTGGTTAAGAACCATTGGTTTAAAAACAAACTAAAAGAAAAAAGGCAAAACATTCCAAATCTTACTTAGTCTAAAAATTCTCTTTCGATGGACGAAACTTTCAATTAAGTTTTATTTTCTGTTGATAATTTTATCATATTGTTTTATTCAGCTTTTCTGCATAGTTCCTCTTACAGTGTTACGTTAAAAGTGAGAGTCAACCAACAATGCTCTGATGACTCGGTGTGTTTCTTATTTTGAAAAGGGCATTATGTTTGCTAAAATAGCCAGCAGTCCACAGAGATAGATTGAGAGCTTCATTTTTTAAACTCAGAAAAGAAAAATTTCAAACAGATCTATTGTGAGCAAGTGTCAGTAAGTCCAGTGATGTGATGAGCTGTCTTTAAATGAAGGCCTTTGAGAGATTTAGCCCAGAAATACTCTGGCTGAATCAGAGAAGCTGTTGTGGTATTATTTGGCTTCCTTTAGAAAGTCTTAGTAAAACAGAGGCTTAAGAAGAAGACCCTTCAACTCTTCTCTTCAACATGTCGCTCTGCTTTTAAATATCCTCCCCCACAGTCCTTGATGAATTTTTGTTCGTACAGTTTTTAGCACGGCTTAGTGAGGTACTTGTGACCATCTGGTACCTCTGTTATAGTTACTTGAAGTAGCAAATGCAGAATTACTGTAGTGAAGACAGCAAAGAGATAGGCGATTTAATTTCCATTGTCAGCCATTACACAGCTAATCTGCATCAGGAAAGCAGCAGTAACAAAGTGAACTCTGAATGCATTAATATGAAATAAGCCCAGATTTCTCTCACATCTGAGAATGAGTTGCTCCAAAGAATGATACTTTTAGCTGGAGCTAATCTGGAGGAATCTCATCTATATCAGAAATTGAAAGTAACATAAGGAGAAAAGAACACTGGACAGTGTCTGGTCCTGAGAATTCTCAGTGAGATTCTTGCCATCTGCATTTTTATCAGCAGTGAGCACCAACAGTATAATATCCTTAACACTTCACTTTGTTAAATGGATAGAAAGAGGTTGTTTATGAAAGACATGAATTAATAGAGTTGAGATTTATAGATACAAGCCCTAGATTTCAAGAAACCTTCACTTTGGAAATCAGCCATTAGGTATATATTTTTTCCTCTTGGTAACTGTATTGAATAAAAAGAGAAAGAAGGAATGAAAGATTACTAAGGAAGTGCCATTGTTGGGAAGGCTTAGAACTCCAAATTTTCTGATTTAGCAGAGCAGTCACATTTTACGATGGTTTTTGTTGAACATGGTTTAAAATGAAGGATAAGACAGAAAAGATACTATATGTCTTGTTTTTTTTGTTGTTGTTATTTTCTAGGAAATCATTGTGAAAATTATAACAAAAAAGCTGGGAGAGAAATACCATAAGAAAAAGGGCATTGTTAAGGTAAGAACAGAACGTTAATGGAATTTGTGAAAGGAGCTGGTGGGTTACTGAGTAAGGCCATTTTGGTAGTCCTAAAAATCAAGTCCTAGTAGCAGAAAGCATATGTTTAAGGTATTGATGGTTCTGTAAAAGGAAAGCTGAATTCATAATTGTTGGAGAAATAATTTATTTTCAACCATCGTTTATGTTAACCTCTGTTTCCTTTCTTACTGGAGCAAATAGTATGTATGAAATGCCATTGGCACCTCTTAAACTCAGTATGCACACCTTGCTAATCAGCAAGGTACATTCTCTTTGTTAACGATGAGCAATATAATTGTACCCCCAGAATTCCAAGGAGGCCTTCCATGTGTTTTACCTGAGGGTGTTTTGGCTGCTCTAGGATTTTAAAATTTAAAAATCAACACTCTGGGGTTTTTTTGCTTTTCCTAAATATAGTTTCATTTCTGCACCCAGCCTTTGCATGCTTAAATTGCCCTTCCACTGTCCTTGAAGCTAGGCGAAATTATCCCTCTCACTATATTTCTTAAAGTCTTATTCTAAGATCACCAGTTTTTATAGTTTGCAGATGAAAACCTTAACTAAGTTTTGAATTGAATTCTTTATTAAGAACCAAAAACTAAGAAATAATAAATGGTTTCTAGAAAATAGTGTTGTTTATAGAAGGAGTTACTCTTCTTTTGATTGGAATTTCTTTTTATTTTATTTATTTCTGTCCTTTGAAATTTGTGTTCACATATCTCTTCTATTATAAAAGTGTTGATTTTACATGACAGGAAGTAATTGACAAATACACAGCTGTTGTAAAGATGATTGATTCTGGAGACAAGCTGAAACTTGACCAGACTCATTTAGAAACAGTAATTCCAGCACCAGGTAAATCTTTTTGCAGACCATTTAATGCATATATATGCCATCAGCTTGAGTGATTCCATTCATTAAACCATAGTTTTTTGACATTACTTGATAGTTATGGATACAAGTTTCCTTTTTAGAATTATATAACTGCCAGTATAACTGATCCTATTTGACTGGGTGTTGTGGTAGTTTGTCAGTCTTTTAAGAAAGCTATTTGTGTCATGAACACATTTTCCCTTCCTGGAATTTTTTTTTTTCCCAGAAGGAAAACACAGACATATCTGGGTAAATCCAATTATATTAGGGTTATTAATATATTTATTTAGCTCTCTGAAATAGTAAACTAAAACAGTATGATTTTGCTTTCTTTAATTATCTTGATCATTTGGATATGAACACAATGTCTACTATTAATGCTGTTTGGTCAGGCGATTCGCCTCTGATCCACTTTCTTCATGGTGATATAATTGCTGGCACAATGATCATGCTAGTCTCTAAAACTTCACTTATCAGATCCGTTATTCTTTCCCTCTAAAATAACAAATCATTTAATGGATTAAAACTTTTTTTCTAATAAACTAGACTTTTATAAGGTATAAAATTTGATAATTCTTAACATGTGAATACTCTGGTAAAACTGTCTCTGTAAGCAAGATAATGAATGTTTGTTTTATTACCCCCTCCCCCAAGTTTTTCTCATTCCCTTTATACTCTAATCATTCCCTCCCACTCCTCTTGCCTCCTGTCTCCCCCTAGGCAACCATCAATCTGCCTTTACTGCTGTTTATTTATCCAGTCACCTGTTGATAGACGTTTGGGTTGTTTATAGTTTCTGGTTGTTAAAAATAAAACTGCTGTGAACTTTCACATACAAGTCTTTGTATGGACATAGGATTGCTTTCCTATTGGGAAAATACTTAAAAATAGGATGGCTTAATCACATGTCAGGCATATATTTTAAACTTTTATGAAACTGCCAAACCATCCTTAAAAAGAGATTAATTAAAGGAAACATTTTTTTTCTGATTATTTGTAGACTCTGAGCATTTCCTTCAAATACCTTATACACCATGCAGTCTAAAATTAAAACATATCCATTTGACAAATAAGTGAAAAAAATGAGGAATATAATGTGATAGTAATTAAAGTATCTACAAACTATACTTTAGAATATAAAGTTCTTAAATGATAAAGAACTTCTAAGATAAGGGTTTTTGTTCATTATGTTTATTCTGTGTAATTGCATTTTGCTGTAACAAAGTAGAAGGAAAAAAAATGGACATGTTCTTTGCCTTAAGTCTTATATTCTTTTCTATCGTAGGAAAAAGAATTCTTGTTTTAAATGGAGGATACAGAGGAAATGAAGGCACCTTAGAATCCATCAATGAGAAGACCTTTTCAGCTACTATAGTCATTGAAACTGTAAGTATGTATACACAAAGACAGAAATTTCAAAGTGCTTTAAAAATGTGTCATAGTTCTTTTTCATTGGATTGGTCTTTGTGTCATTTTAGAGTTTGGGCTTTTGTTTGCCTTTGCTCCTGTTTAGAAATCTGTAAGCTCGTTTTCTCTAGTGACTCTACCATTGCTAAAGCATTTTATTTTCTAATTACTAAAGAAATGCCTATGTGACTGAGTCCATTCAGACTGCTATAATAAAATACCATAGACTGGGTGGCTTGTAAACACCAGAAACGTATTTTTCACAGGTCTAAGGGCTAGAAGTCTAAGATCAAGGCTCTGGCAGATCTGGTGTCTGGTGAGGCCCTGCTTCCTTTTCATGTGTCTTCACCTGATGGAAGGGCCAGGGGAACTCTCTGGAGACATTTGGGTTGTTTATAGTTTTTGGTTGTTACAAATAAAACTGCCTTTTTTAAGGGCACTAATCCATTTATAAGGACTCCACTCCCATGACCTCAAAGGCCCCATCTCCAAATACCATCCCATTGGGCATCAGGTTGCAACATAGGAAGTTGGGGGGGGCCCATTTAGTCAATAGTAATACTCATGTAAAACCTGAAAAATACAATTTAATTTAAATAATATTTTTAATTACCCATAATATCCCAGCCAAATGATAATTTTATATTTTATAAAACTGTCTACAGTATGTAGTTTTATATTCTGACTTTTTTCCCTCTCACATCTAATATAAAACTCAGTTTGTCGTGTTATAATTAGTGGGGAATGTGCAGTTATAATTAGTGGGGGAAAAGCCACAGAGATCAATTTTTAAAAATGTCCCTCCTTTCATAAAGGATTTAAGGTAGCAAAGATCAAGAAAATAATTAATTTAAAGAAATCTGACGTACAAAAATTGCTTATTGATTTAGAATTGATAATTGAGTGATAGGTCTGTGCATGAGGCAAAGGGGGATGTAAGATATCTGAAGAAGAAAAGATCTGAAACATGCTTTATCCTAACTGCCTAATTCTTTTTAAAATCTTAACTATGTATTGTGTATCTTTATCTCTAAATGAAAGACTTTTTTGTCTCCAGTACAGCAAGTGTTAATATTTTGGGGGGATAATAAACCCCTTGGAGAATCTGATGAAAGTTCTGAACTCTCTCCAAACAATTGCACATGATTGTCAAATTTTACATATTTGTTGTCTTAAGGAATTCAGGAAAAAGCATCCCCTTATTTGAGAGAAAATCACATTTTAAGTAGATTAAGTTTTTCTTTCTCTGCTCCTGACAATACCAATCTAGAAACTGTCACTATGTTAAAATATGGCGGAGGGCGGGGGGGATCATCTGTCTTTGAGACATTTATGAGTCTCTTTAAAAGTAAGTTTTTCTCTCTGGCTCAATTAGTGTAAGGCTATGGAAAATCTTAGTTTTCTGTGGCAGATTGATCCGCCTCTACTTGTTAATTTCATAGTACTATCCAGTTTGGCTCCTGCTTCATGTTTTCATCTCAGGAAAACACAAAACAGATAACTACCATTGAGGATATTCTAGGTTCCATCCAGATACCTTTGGTTTACAGTTTGTATGATTTTCAAGAAGTACTTTCTTCTCTCCCGCACTTTAATCCCACAGTTTCACCTTCCTTTCTCAGCCTTAGTTGCTTACAGAGCTGTGCTAAGACCTCTGAGGAAGTCCACATAAAAAGCTTTCTGGTTGACTGCAAAACAGCACTTACTTTTGGAAGAGGAAACCTACCTGCTAATTTTTTGGTTTTTTTCTTTTTCTTTTGAAGTCTGCCCCCATGGG